GCCTGAGCAAGACAGAATAATCATTTCAGATTGCAGAAGAGTGAAATGGGAGCAGTTCATTCTGGGCCTCGTCCCTTATTGCCCCTGACCTGTGGCATCTCCAACACCACAGGATCCACTTGTGACTTGGATGTGGACCATGGTCAGTCAAGGAAGGTGTTCTGGGCCGTTGAGTAGTTTCAGATGACAGTGGGATTTCTGCCGTCTTACGTCTCTGCTGGAAAAGTTGGCCAGCAGCACGTTGTGCTTCTTGGTGTTGCTCCTTCCAGGTGGAGACACATTGTCATGAATGAGATTTGAATCTGTCACCTGCAGAAGTTGTGATGGAAATTCAGTCTCTTTGAGCTCCTCTGACCATGTGGAGCAAGAACACCTTGGAGGCAGCTCATCAGCAAGGAGCATGTGGGTTACAGTCCGGCCGAACTGGCCTGTTTTACAAATTGAAATCCAGTTACAGCTATAAACAACCTTTATTTCATACTGCAGTTGGCTTCTAAAGTGCAGTGGAAAAGACAAGCATGCTGGAGACATTAAACTAAAATGTGAAACTACTGAAGGGGCCTATAGTAAAGGGCAGGGCGGCATGCTGAAACAGTGTGACAGATCCTTGGTGGTGGTGAAACCACGAGTTACTGCACTATCTGCAGCCTAATCGGTAGTCAACTACAGTAGGTACAAAAGGCTTAAATCTTAATGTGGAGAAAGACAAGTGCATACAGATGAATAAATTATTTAGTCTACCACTCACCACATCCAAATCCAATAGTATTGGCTCCTGGGGTGACTTTGCGAATATTGCATTGGAAGGATAGAAACTACTGTAAGGTAGTTAAGTTACTTAAGGGAACACCAATGCCATGATGTATTATGAAAAGTTTTAAAACCAGGCTTAGATACTTAATATCTCTCATTTTGTAAGTATCCAATATAAACATGTGGTTGGATGTGATAGGATTTACTACTTACGCAGAGAATAACTGTGCCAGTGTGTCCTGAGCACATCACAGAGTATATAAAACCTTGGGTTCTGGAGGAAAAACAGCAGTTTTAAACTTTACAGTTCCAAGATACATATACATATAATGTGAAGCTGCTCTGGAGTTAAAATCTGGTTTGCACAAATTCTGCGGTTTAAGGGTTTTTTCCTGTTACTTGGAAAAGCTTCCAGTGGAATACTGGGTAAATAAAGTGACACAAAAATTCTTAAGCTACCTGAATTCATGCTAGTTCCCTCAACATATACCAACATCAGTGAACCATGTCCTTACATTGTTACCTCCTTTATCTTGTTGTAAGTGCATACCAGTAAGATGGCTTCCACAATGTGATGAACTTTAGAAGTAAGAGGTGAAAATACTGCTTTTCACAAGAAAACTAATGAGGATCTTACTGTTCTTTTTCTGCTGTAATCTGCATACACTCACATAGGGTAAAGAGGAAGAAAGAGTGATGGCTATATGTTCTGCACCCCTGTCTATGCCAGAGACAGTCCCATATGCTCTGATTCTTCTAAATGATATCCTGAGATGCATTAAAATGGGATGCCTGCATAGACGTGGAGGGTAACTGTTCAGCTCTTTTTGACACTAGGGCGACAAGATTCAGCACTGTATCTAATTTTGGTCCCAGAAGAGGTAAAGTTGCAAACTGCAGAGAAAGGCAAGAGGAATGAAGAGGAGGTTAAAAAGCATGCTATGTTAAGAAAGGGCAAAAGGAAAAGATTTGGTTCACCTAGTATGTGTTGATTGTACCCCCTTCCCAGGCAATTATCTGTTTGATAGGGTGATTCCCTCTCACCTGTTTCACTGCTGAGAGGAGCCAGAGCTGCCATTGCTTGCATACGGTGAGTGTTGCTGAGTGATGAGAGCGAGGAGTCCCACTCACAGCTCCAGTGTCTGCCTACATCAGTGACCGCCTGAAACTGTATATATGTGCTGGATATGGATGTTGCTGTAACTTCATATACCTGACATAAACCGGGTTCCGCACTCTTTTTAGTGGGGAATCTTGGGCAGCAGATTGCAGAAGTAGAGGTTTTGCTCAGCTGCAAGCTGCTGCTGTTGTAGGAAGGTAAATGAGGTGTAAGGTATAAAAGAGACAAAATGTGTTGACAGGATGCAGACAAAACTTAGAAATCTTGATCTTTGTCCTTTTCTTTGTGATTTTCCAGGTTGCTATTGATATTATCATGGTTTCCATTTGCTGTGTGTATAGCCATAGTGTCTTGTAATAGGACCTGATCTAAGACTTAACAGGGAGACTTTACTGTGCTTTGTACTGAGCTCTCTATAGATTTGTAAGAGTACAATACTTCTTCACAGAAAAACTACTGGAAGCTCTGGTATTGGCTCTCCAGATATGGGGACACATCAGGAACCGTTAGCTTTGGCAGACACTTCATAGTAATGCTTTTTGTTAGTATTAATATGCTTGAGGACTGTGTCTACAACCAGTCTCCTTTTGCTGCTTGTGGTCCATGCTTATGTTTTCAATTTATTTTTGGTACTTAGGGACGTTGAATCACTAGCCAACACAATTTATTCTTCCAAATATGTCAGCTGCCGGACAGATGAAATGCATTGTTTGGGGCGAGGGGGAAGTCATTCTTTTTCAATTAAATTAGTTGCTTAATGAAAATACAACAGAAGAATCTTCTGTTTCTTCTTTTGCCTTCCTTTCAGTGCTTCTCTGCAGGTATATGACTTTCAAACTTTGGGGACAAAAAAAACGTCACCCTTACCTTTCTTGTGGTTTCCAGTGTATTTTCAGTGACCCATAGAGAAGATCATGCTACCTTGTCTTCTGTAGAGTTGGTTAATTCCGAAAGCTTGTCTCTGTCCAGTGTCACTACACTCTGTAGTTGGTTCTTGACATAACTGGATCTGTGTGGTTTTGCTGGGGAAGAAGGAGGCTAACTAGTAATTTATTTTGTTTTCTCTCTTTCATCTTCATTGTGTTTTCTGCTGACCTATCTTTGTGTTAGTAATTCTTCGTTGTGATTGCTTTAAAAGTGAGTAAGAGTAAGTTGATATTCATTTGGAATGAGATTTTTGGGCAGCAATTCCTGAAGTTAGGTTTGGAATGTTCTCTCTTAGTGGCTTTAGTCTTTAAAGAGGCCATGGCAGGCTTGTGACAAACCTCAGTTGAAAAGAGGCATCTGATGGATTTAAGATGATCTCATAGGTGGTGACTGAAGTATCTGACCTGTCTTTATGAAATCCACAGTGTGAGATCAGGTCTTCTCTGGAAATGGTAGAAGATGAACTAAAAATGAAATGCATGGTGGGCAACAAAACTCTGGAATTTGTCGATATAGCAGGTCATGCAAGAAATTCTTCAGGCAACAGGCAAGGATGTGCCTTCTGACATCCCATGTGCAATCTTTGGGGGCACTGGAGGAGGAGGAAAGATACTGGAGAGAAATGGACTGTTGATAGTGCTCAGGCTTGCAGGTGCCTAACGAGCATCACCCACCACTCATGAGCCAAATGGACCATTGCTTTGAAGCAGTAAGCCATTTTTTGATTTCTTATAATTCTGTCTCAGTTGGACAGGGAAAAAGTTGTAAAAATAATGGATTGCTTTCTGGGAATATGTATCTCTGACTGGAGTTATTTGTTTGGGCAAATTGTACCTGGGCTGGGAAATTTTTGGCAAATAGGCAGAATTAGACTGAATTTGGCTCAGTAGAAGTGGAATGATTTAGGCCTTTGGGTGGATCCCTAAATTGTTGACACTGCAAGTAATTATCCAGCCTGATATTCTTTTAAATAGTGCAAAGGTTTACCTGCAGACAAAGTCACCACTGAAGATAGAAGCCTAGACTTTTTTCAGGCTCTCTGAGAACTGGCTCCTCTCCTGAGACCAGCAGACCTGCCCTGCAGAGCTATTTGACAGTCATTGTCAGTAATGCGAATTCATTTGAGGTTAAACTTGCTTTTTCTTCTCCTTTATTTCATTTGCAGTGGTTCTTGACATCTGAACAAAAGAGAAAAAACTCAGTTTCAGCTGAGAAGTAAATTGTTATATAACTTTCCAAACCCTTGGTGAGAGCTCTTGTAATTATACTGTGGGGTTTACTTTTTTTATAGTTGTAAGTACTAATTCCTACAACTCCAAAGTGAATTACACGTTTGAATTGTTTCTATTATGTCTGAGCTTTGATGCAGTGCTCAATAAAGTCCCTCTGTAATTATTTTGAAGTTGTGTGTATTGTTACATGAATATCATGTTTCCAGAGCATCACCTCAGCAGTTTGTCAGCCTACATGATACATCCTGACATTGTAAAATAAAATGTAATCCAATTAGCGTTTTGTAAACCTCCAACTGCTGGTTTCCATCCTGCTCCTGTTCTGTTATCAGAAACATTCTTTGCAAGTGGCTTTTTTGCCACCACCTCTTATATTCTCTGAGTCTGTTGTGAGTATGGAGACGGGGGAAAAGAAAGAAGCTTCTCTCTGGAAGAGTTTTTAATTTCTTGCATTTCAAGAGCTGCCAAATACAAACTCAGGCTGCTGGTTGAAGTATTTCTTTGTCTAAGAAATCACTTAGAAATTTTCTAAAGGCAGAAAGTGGGTTTGCAGTGTCCTGAGGAAACTGGTGACATTAAAAAAAATTCCTGCTTATGTACCAAAAGCCTTTGTGTACTGGGCACACCCTCTGGTGCGCTTAGGTGTGTAAGTGCAACGGTGACGTGCACAGATGAAAGGTGAGCAAAGCTTCGGCAGCGCATCCCTAAAGCTAGCCACCTCCAGCAGTGCTGCGAGTGCCGTTTTGATTACCCTTAATGACGGTGTTCTTCTCAAGTGAGCTTTGAGCTGTCGCGTTTATCTTGAATCTTGTCCGATTTTACCTAAGTGCATTCAGATGTTCACTGAATCAAGGCATTGATATATTGGCCTCCTTTAAGCTGAACAGTTGTCTGAAAATAATAGCCCTTTATTTCAGTTTTCTCTGTCTGCAGTGAGTATTTGCTTATGAGGTTTTTTGGTGGTTGCCATGGTTATTGTCTGTGTGCAGAACAGGGTTGTGCTACGTAAGAAGGTGAGTTTCAGAAACAAAGGTGAGAACTGGCCAAACCTGGTTGAAACTGTTGCTTTTTTAGCTGCTAAAGTTATTTGCACTTAGGCATTTGTAAAGTCTCTATTCTGCTTTAAATTTATTTAATTTTAAAGAATGAGATTTATAAGATTCGCCCAAAGTTACTGGCTAATCAAGTCAGAGACTTAATTAGACCTTGAATGTAATCTGGGTACTGCAAAGTTCCACTTACTTGAAGTACCAATGAAGAAAAAAAAATTGCTCACTATATTGCAAATTGTAACTATGCTTTGAAAATCAAAGCAGTTAATTAATTACGAAGCATTTTTAAACATTTGCATAGCCCTGCAAACTCTCATCATTTGATCAGCCTTACAGCCTGACAATTCAAATCAGCCCCGCAGACTCTATCACGTTTCCAGGATGCTAGGCAGACACATTCCGTATGTGCTCTTGCTCCTTCACTGGCACTTGTTGGCATCTACTTAGCATTTTTCTTGAAGATTTTCACATACTTGCACAGCGGAGTATGCCAGAAGTGTATGTCTGGGCAGAGGAAGGCTCCCCTTCTGCCAGTGACCGTGTTGTTGTATGGATACTGCTGAAGGGCAGATACTGGTGCTGGGTTTTGTTACGCGAAGAGATGAATCAAAAAGGGGACAGTCCAGTGGGTTTTTGCGTAAGAAAAACTTTTGTGATGGTGGTCTGGTGTTATAATCAACATCATAAAACTGTGTTCAAATGTTAACCTTTCAGACATCGTTAGCAGTTGTTTTGGAAAAGGTTAGCTACAGTGGTTTAAATTCATCCCCTTTGGAGGTCTCTAATCACTGAGGCTAGGATTTTGCATTTCATAGGAAGCAAGGCTTCTGAAGGAAAGATTGATAAGGAATAAGAGAGCTGCGTTTCTCATAGAAAACTCTATAAAATCTTATAGTAATACTTGATGAGTTATGTGGGTTTTGTATGAGCCTTATGAGGCCAATGCTTACTTGCTTGAACCAGCAGATGTGATGTCCTGGAACTTGGAAAGCTTAACCAAGGCCATGACCACCAAATGCCCAATCCTCAGGTAATTTGGAGAATGACTGCTTCCGTGTTTACGTTGCAGTGAAGGCTACCCTAAACATTGCAACCAGTAACAACAGTAATGTTGTTTTGGTCATGAAGTATCACACTGATAGCAAAGTGCCAGTATGTACCCATTATATAGAAGGGAATCCAGATTTTTCTTTTCTTTCTTTTCTTTCTTTTTTTTCTTTTCTTTCTTTTTTTTCCTTTTTTTTCCCCTTTCCTTTTTTTTTCTTTTCTTCTTCTCCTCTCCTCAAAAGTAATCTAAAGGTTTCCTGAAGAATCATTTTGCTTCCCTGATGAAGAGCTAATAGCCGTTCAAATACCGTGACAAGTGCCAGAAGCCCATATGCTTCCTCTGACTGCTTTTATGTTAGAAATCCTTCCGCCTTGAGAGCGTGATTGTGTCAACAGTAGAAGGAACTACGGGTTGAAACACACTGGCACATGAGCCATTCCGTGTGCTGAACGCATGTTACCTGGAACCCAGGTACAGGCCCCGGACTGGGAAACATTTTGTGCCATTGTGTTAATAGAAAAATGAATTTTCCATAAGTAAGTGTCATATATGCACCACTGTGGATGAAACTCTGACCTCCTGACTAAGCCAGCCAATTTAAAAGGCTTGAAAACAGATGCCTGTTGGCCTGTATTATCAGGTGCTGCTGCTATATGCTATACACCAAATACTTCTCTAGTGTGATAGTGTGACTTCAGAATGCCTTTTACTGAAAGAATAGCCCAGGGACACTGTCCAGCAACAAAACAAGGCTGTGTCCAATGTATTTAAAGACAGTGAATTACTACTCCTTTGTTCTGGTTTTGCGGGGAGGAGAACATGGTGCAAGAGCTGGCGTGAGCTGAAGCCCAGTCCCGGTGGGCAGGTTGGATGTGCCTCTTCTGTGTCAAGGTTTAGTGAACATTACCTGTACGAAGGTGATCAGACCGTGCCACTTGGCCCCCAGGCCACCTGTGGTCCCGGCACTGTTTATTCCACGAGTTACATACCTAGCCAGTGGCATGGCTTGTTCTCTAAGTCTTTTTGTAAGATTCATGTTTATATTTGAAATTGAAGTAGTTGATTAATTTTAGCTCTATACTGTGCCATGTCTTTCTATTCTGAAGAGCAGCTAGTTTGCTGTTGGAAGTGAATGCTTCTGACCTGGGCAGGACCCTAGAAATTCTCCTGTATGTATCTGTTGGTTTATGGTCAAAACATACGATGTTTCAGAGGTACACAGAAACCAAAATACCAATATACTGACTCCATGTTTTCCAATTTTTATTTAGGTACTTCCTTTCCCCAGCCAGGTGGTCTACAACAGAGTTGGGAAGTGTGGGAGTCGAACTGTGGTTTTGCTTTTGAGAATTTTATCAGAGAAACATGGCTTCAACCTGGTTACATCTGACATCCATAACAAGACAAGACTGACCAAAAATGAACAGGTAAGCCAGTCCTGGTCATCTTAAATCCTGCTTTCTTATTATGTTTATGAAACTGAGAAACAAAGGCAAATGCTAACAGAAATTATATTCAAAAGGTGTACTGCTACTTTGACCTGAATAATCAGCCAGAATTCATCATCCTTTAATAAGAGAAACGAATGGTAAGGCCAAGAGCAACACAATGTGGAAGCTAACCAGAAAAACTAACTTCCCATGAGCCAGCTCTTGAATTTAGTCAGCATAGCGGTTAGTTAGGCCAGCAATGAGGCATGAAGGATTAGTGCAAGTTAAGTTAGGTGCTAACAGCTTCTAGGACTTGTATTAATGTATCTGCAGGGCAGAGCAGATAACAGCCAACAGTGGGGTTTTTTTTCTCATTTTCGCAATTCACTTCTAGTAATCTCTTGCTTCAAAATTGTTTCCCAGGGCCGTGCTAACCCATGTTGCTATAATCTGACACTTCCTTGATCCTGTCTCAGCCTCTTGTTCATCTGCCTCTTTTGTGTTATCATACAACCCTCACTAAGGCAAGCAAAAATACCACATGAAACCTCTTTACCTGGACACCCCTTATCATGTTCCCCTGAAGTTGCAGAGGGCATTATTTTTTGCAGGTTTGATTGCACAGAAAATGCAGTTATTTAAATCCCCTTCTGTTTAGGGTAACTGTGTGCCCTCTGTGGGGATCGCTGCCATCAGTACATATTGATGCAAGTAATACAGAAAACCTCAGACTCCAAAGTGTACGGATGTAGTTGGATGCCGTACACGCAGCTCTTGCACATGTTGCCCACAGCTGCAATTTTGATCTGCTGGTCAGGTAGATGCCACAGTGACTGCCTGTGTCACTCCTAGGAATAGCAGCCTGCAAACCACAAAAGGGTATGTAGAGACGCGGGCCTGCCAGTGGCACTGTACTGTGATTGGAGGCAACTTGTTTGTAGCCTGTTTATGAGCATAGGTTTGTTATTTTAGATATATCACTTCATTCCAAATCAAAGTTTGGGAGCAGATACTGCTCCTGCAGGTCCCACCATCCTCCCTTCCAAGGTGGCCATTGGGATTCTGCCGGCAGCCAGCTCGCCTAACCCCACACGGGACTAGAGTTGAGCCCACTGTGGGTCCCAGCTGGCCAGGGCTGCCATTCCAACCCAAAGGCTTCTGTGCATGGCTGGGTGTGACACCCCAGTGAAAGGCTGTGGGGCAGGACACTGTCCCCCCACTGCCCCTCGTGTGGCTGAGGGAAGAGGCAGAGCCCTAGCCTGCAGCTACTACAGAATCCCTCTGTGTATCAGAATCCCCCTGTGTATCGTACTGGCAGCACTGTGGAGATGAGGGAGTTTGCAAAGTGGTCCCGTCAGGTCAGGGTCAAACTATCCTGTGCTACAGGGCCTGCTGGTTAGTTTTTCCTGCTTAACTGTAGGATAGGGGGTTTCTGTGGTTTTAACTGCTTTTGTGTTTCAGGTTGTTTGGGTTTTGTTTTGTTTATGGCCTTCATCAAGTTTCATTGCTGATTGGGAGATGTATCATAAAACCTAAAAACCTTTCAGGTTTTAATAATCACCAGCTCTCACCTCATCAGCTACTTCAGTTCAATTCCTTTCTGCCATTCTCTGGTAGGTGGATTGTCTTTTGTTAAACATGATACAAGATCACATCTCAACAGTCTTTTGTGCTTTGTGGAGATTCCAGAGAGGCCCAGACTTAATTTTGATGCAACCAGTACCACTGGCAGAGGATAAATAGCTGCATTACTTTTTGTGCTCCAGAAGCTGTTAGGTTGCTAGACAGTCAGTGTGCCACAACAGAGATGGTGCTGGATGTATTGGTGCAGAGCTGATGGTTTACTCTTTAGATGGTCCTTACTATAACTCTAGTCTCTTTATTTTAATCTATGGCTTATTTACGTAGTTACAATATGCTCATAATTTAATGAGTACTTTTGCTGAAATGTGCCTTTGATTGCCAGGAAACATGCCTGGAGACAGTAACAGCTCTGTTGTTCAGGGTATTTTTAGTTGTCTTCTCATTTTTTTTATGAGCAGAATATGAAAAAATAAATTATTTCTCCCACCTTTAATGTGGTGTACACAAGAGGAAGTTAAGAGAATGGATGGTCTCAGGCTTCAGGCGTTGGAATGAGAGAAAAGAGGGCTGCGCTGGGCTGTAGGCTTCCAGTGTGAGCATGGGTTTCTCACTCAAGACGATGCGTCTCTCTTCCTTCTGTCATTTGTGTGGCCTGTGTTTGGTTAAAGCCCTGATCCAGCCAAGACTTTTCTGTAAATATTTAGCTTATGCAGTCTGCTGTTGTTAAATGAAGTTAAGCACGTAGGTGTTCTTAATAACTGTGGAGATTGCACGTATCTGGAATCCTTATTCTCATCGCCTTTTCCTGTCTCCTTCCTACTAAGAAATTTTCCCAAATAATGTGTGCCTGACAACAATTAGAAGTGCAGCCTTTGAACATCCATTGGCATAAGGGAGTGAGTTCTGGAAACAGATGAGTTAATCTGTGCCTTACCATTTGCTATAATATTTCCAAGTAATTTAAATACAGAAGATAATATGTAGTATCCATGTACACAAAGTCAATCTCATTCATGTGGATTTAAAATGACACACAAACTGTTGCAGAATGCATTCTACCCCTTGCCTGACTTCCTCCCCAGCCCCCATTCCTGCATTCGGAGAAGTAAGGATGAGTATGATTAAAGATATAACAATACCAGTCACATACGGGAGTAATTAATATCCTCATATCATTTCCTTCTACCACCCGTCCTTATGGCCGTGCAGCCAGCGTCCTATCCAATTCCAGTTTAACACAGTAAAAAATGCATCACTAATTTTTCTTAAATGCTTTTGAAGACAGAAAATTGGTCATAACAGCTTGGGGAGCTGAAGAAATTCTTGAAGCCATTCCAAATTTTTGAGAGCTGAAAATGAAGATCTAGTCTCATTCCTGTGAGTTGTTTATGGAAAGGAATACCAAGATGAAAGTGATATACCAAATACCTGTAGATACTTGTGTCTCCTGGACCCTACATGCCTTCACTAGAGACTGAAAACAGTAGAAGAAGGTAAAGAGCTCACAAGAAAGATGTAGAGATTTTTTTTTCTTTTTCTCTCTTATTTATGTCAATGTTAGTGGAGATCATAAAATGATCCAGCTGATCTCACTTGGAAGATCCCAGTTGCCTCTCCATTTATATGCATTTTGACCTCAAATTGTCCCAGTGAAATACAGAAGCCTAAAAAAAGTAGTAACTTCTTGTTGTCTGGGTGGGATTATTATCTGATTATTTCTTTTTGTTGCCAGCAGAATTTACCTACTGCACATCTCAACCCAAATGTGACTGCTGTGAGCAGTCAGCGCAGGGGGCTGCCTGCTCCCAGAAGAGGGCAAGAAGGTGCCCTCTCTCTCTCGCAAGCCTGAGTTGGATTTTTGTGTGGGAACAATGCCACGGCTGGAGCAAAGCCATCCTCCACGTTTCTCCCCTTTCCGGGAGGGCCCCATCCAGTCTCTCTCGGAGCCATTTCGCTGTGCCATCTGCTGGATTGTTATTTGCAATGCAGCAACAGCCGAGCACGAGTACACTGGTGATGCGGAGCCATTATTACCCTGCGATTCCTTTGAGATGGCCACCCGACATCCTACGGTGGTCGCGTAGGACAGAAGACAAGGAGCAACCTTTCTCCTTGGAGTATTGCCTCTTGGTGCTCTTGCTCTGGTGGACTTTCAGATTCAAAATAGTGTAGAAAATGAATGTTAGAGAAAAATTGAGAATAAAAGCTTAAGCAAGGAGTCCCAGTGGCAGAAAGATGTTGTGCTAGGGAGCTAATCAGTACGGAGCCTAAAGGCTCTGTTCCCTCCCAGTTAGCTGGTGTCCGAGTGGAGGGATTGGATGACAGCAAACGTGTGTTGACTGCATGACGGAGGTCTTTGCAACCACCTGCTGGGGTTTAGCATCTCTGCACACTCCTGCCATGCGGTGTGCATGCTCCCCTTTCCTCAGGGAGCGCAGCCCTCCCACTGCTTTTGGTTCTCCGGTGCCCAGCAGCCGAGCTGTTGTGGCTGGACCACGCTGTGGGCTCTGCCACCACCTGCCTCTCCCCACACACTCCTTCTGTCCTGGCATTTTCCTCTCCCTGGATCCCTGTTTAGCGGCATTAACTGGTGCCATTTAGTTAATTTCCAAAGCAAATTACTGTCTCTTTCAGCACAGTTACACTGAAACAGCCCAACTCTTGCAGGTGAGCTCTGGGCAACAGCGAGAAAGAGGAGTGGTTCCTTGTGGACCATTATCCTAGCAGGCATGTGCTCCTTTCGGGCTTCCTCAGGAATTTTTTTACAGCTTCACCCTCCCAACATGAATGTGTTCTGCTTTATCTCTCCCCTAGTGGTGTTTGCCAGGGTAGTTGATCTACTGCTGCTTGTGCCTTTTCATCTCTTTTCAAACTTAGGTTGGTTTAAGATCATCACCTAGATCATCTGTGCTTGTAGGTATCTCTTTTTTCTCCCTCCTTCATCACTCATTCCATCCAAAAGTACTTGCTTTCTTCAGCTCTCATCCTCTGCTCACACTTCCTCTCTGTGGGTTGTCTACACTAACCATCTTGTTTAAAAAAAAAAAAAAAAAAAAGCCCAAACAAAAATTTAATAAACAAAATAATAAACCGCAAAACAAGCAACAAAAAAAACCCGCTAGAGACCGTACTCTTCTGGGACATGCTGGAAGATTTTCTTTCCTTTTTGTTGGGTGTTTTTTTCTCTTCAACATCATCTTAAAAGGAGGAGCAGATCACTAGGTATTCCTGAGCAGTATGTTTGGCCTGTTAGGCTGCAATCAGTTCAGCACAGTGAGATCAGAGAGAGCCCCATGGGAAGTATGGCCACAATTTGCATGTGGCCATGAGCCATCACAGTTATTTATTTTTCCCTCCTGACATCTGTATGTTGTTTCTGTTAAGCCTTACTTACCCTTTTGGCAGTGTTTTTAAAAGAATGTTTTTGCTCTTTTGTTTGTGTGCACATTGTAGCTTTATCCACATCTGCTTATAAGTCCAGTTGATCATTAATTGTCTAAATATGAAGGTATTTTAAGTAAAACCAAAATTGTGTGTCTGGAGTGAGCTATTATCATATCGAGAGATTGAGTTTGGTAGCAAGAGATTAAAAAAAAAAAAAAAGCCGGGAGCCAGATGCTGTCCCTGCTCTCTGCGCATCTTTCCAGACTCCTTTGCTCCTGAGGCAGAAGTGCCTGTGCTAGTCCGACAGCAGGTTGGTAGGAGCCTGGCATGGACATCAGGGGAAGTGCAATGGGAAACGAAGTGCTGCTGTAATGTGAATCCGCCAGGCGCTACCAAATTGGTACCAGCCCCAGGGTGAGCTGAAGGGTGAGGGAGGCTTGTGTGGTAGTTCGTAACGCTCACGTTACTTTACTGTGATACCGCTAGTATCATATTAAAGCTGCCTGACTTCTTAAACTCAGTGGGATTGCTTTCTGTGGGTGTACTGTCTTTACATCTCCATATTTATGCCCTAATGATGGTTTTTAACTTGTTCTGAGATGGAATTACAGCAGTGACCATAGTGGCATGAATAGAGCTTTTATCCCATATCAATAACTTCATTCATGCAGATAGACTAACACAGGTAAACTACCGATATAACATAAAGCTTTGTACAGTTCTGAGAATTACATTTCTCCTGTAACTTGTCTGGGTAGAAACAAAAAAAGCCAATTGAGACATCAGATACCCAACCTCTAGAGTCTCCCCTTGTTTCATTCTGATTCTGCAAGGTGAATGAATAGAATTTTTTGTCAGAGAGTTACTAGTCATAAAGCAATGGCGGCTTATTTGGTTTGCTAGGAAAGCCTTTGTCTCTTCAGAGCATTGACAAGCAATACGCAGTTACTTTGTGTCAATTATTGCCAAGTTTCCTGGGCTCTCTAGTTCTGTTCTGGGCAAGCTCTGCTCTTCACGCTTATGAATTGCTTGATCATAGCATTTATATTGTACTGACGGAGCTGTATAAAGACGTGTTTGTACTTGAATCAAACAGTCCAGAGTCCATACATGACTGACCAAAGCAGGGGGACTATTCCCTTTCTGTTTCTTTTTTTTTTTTCTTTTTTTAATCACACATCTCTGTTTTCTCATTTCCCTTTTCCTTTCATATATATTTTTTTTTTGTAGCCTGATCTTCTTTATCCTCCATTCCCTTGGGTTTACAGCCTTTCAGACCTAATATACCTTTGTATGCTAATATACCTTGCTATACTTTCTCAGACTTAATATGCTTTGATATATGAGGTCTAGACCTAATATGCCTTTATGTACTCAAACTAGTTTGACAGGAAAAGCCATATCCTGAGAATATGGACAAACTGAACTGTTTGCTTCAGTGCCCATCGTACATATATGTGTATAAAAACTGCTGAAAGTAGAGGAGAGGTAGGAAAAAGCATATTGGTGTGTACACTTTCTTTATTTGGTCATAGAAGTTAAATGGTTATAGCTTGCGTTGTCTGAAAGAAGGCAACAGGTTATGTGTTCTAGGAAAAAATGGAAAATGAAAGATGGATGAGAAGCAGTAAAATGTGGCACACAGTGTAAAAACTATGGCAAACTATCAGTATCAAAACTGGGAAATAGAAGGAAAAAACCACTGTCATCAAGACAGCTTGGAGAAAGAGTTCCTGAATCATTCAGACTTGAAAATTACGTCATCGTATGTTGTTTAAGAGTTATATTTGTCTCAAAATGTGTGTTGATGTAACATGGAAAATTTGATTTGTTAATTCTTTTTAGATGGAATTGATTAAAAACATAAGCACTGCTGAGCAGCCCTATTTATTCACTAGACATGTTCATTTCCTCAACTTCTCAAGGTAAGGCTTTTTTTTTTTAGTTAAAAGTCTTTTTCATTGATTTCTATTAATTGTAATACATAAAACATTTTCCCTCTTCTTTTTTCATATAAACTCAGTGTACTCTTTTTTTTTTTTTCTCCTTTCTGTCTCTGGAAGTAACATGCATAAGCTGAGGGTTTTTCCTGTGCTCTCTGCTACAGAACAGTTAGGTACAGTATGTTTTGAAAAGCCAGGATCCTATTGCATGCCCTTGCCTCCGTGATGATCTTGGTTTATAGTATTTCCAGCCAACATGCATGAGATGGTAACTTGGATATTTAAACCGTTCATTCATGTTTTAAAAGTGACAGCATACTGCTGTCAGTGTTTCATATCTGTATAGCCACAGAGTTCGTTAATTTTGTACCTGAAATTACTCTTCACCTATTTAACCAATTTTATTTTATTCTGACAAAATAGTCCCCATTCCACAGGATACAGAAGTTTTTATAAGTGATGCAAATGGATTATGCTGTGTATCATGGGAGTGCAGTCCCTTCTGGCAGCTATTTAAAAGTACGCACCGAGACTCAGAGGCCTTTATAGCATGGAATGTGAAGAAAATTAAATTTGGATGAAACTTCTGAGGAATTTTTGGAAGGATGAGAATGAATGATGCCAGTTAGCAGTTAACCAGGACACAGAGGTTAAAGCTGACTGCAGATGGTTATTGCCCAGGCAGTAAATTTAATTTGGAAATTATATTCAGGAACCATGCCATCTGTACCACGAGGTTGGACTCCTCACATTTAGATTAAAATAAAAAAAAAAAAAATCTGTAGAAGTATGAATTCTCTGCAGATCTTTGCAAGAGCTTGCCTAACTTCCCAGCATTTTGTTTACGTGGTAATGTCAATACACGTCCTTTGAATGTATGGCTTCAGGAGTGGGTAGTCAGCGTAGTAAGAAATGACAAGATTTAGGGGGTGATGGGAAGGGACACTGTTTTCTTGGAGTGTGGTTTGTTGGAGTTTTTTAAGAAAACATAATATTTTGAACAGTTGGAAATTCACTTGACCTTAACTATGGGCATGATTTCGTTACATGAAAACAAGAAGAGTCAAACAAAATTTCCATCTTCCATGTTCTGTATTCTAATTCCATGAGAGTTCCATTTCCAATGTATTATCTTTAAAGAATAAAACTTGTTGGAAGATTAGGACTTCCCATCTTTGGTAAATGATCTCTTCCCTCTGCCGAAATACAAGATCAAACAAGTAGCCACACCTGAGGGTCAAAGGGATGTTTCTTAATTAAGCATATTTTTCAGAGGTGGTACACAACATTAGGTACATGATAGAAGATAAACATTGTTACCTCTTGCTCCTCCCAAGATCCCATTTTCTATACATATGTATGTCCTTGCCACATAGGTAACGTGTTTCTTCTGTAGTGTATCCGTGAGATTAAATTGCTCTACAATTTTCTTCCAATACGAATTTGTAAAAATATATAAAAATTATGTAAGATGTATAGAAGTATTTGCAGCTTCCATTTTGGCTGTTCCTTGCAAACCTAAAGAACATATTTTTTTGTTTTATCTGAGAGAACACTTGAATTAACTAGTAGCTGTAGAGTAGTGAAAAGGCTGATGAATCTCATTTAGTGAGATGTCATTGAAGTTTATCAACATTGCTTGCTTTTGGTTTAGCATTTCCTAGTGTTTTCTGATAAATATTTTTGAGAGTTTTAGTCTTCAGTTTCAAAATTTATTGGCAGTGTTACACCTTATCGTGAAGTAGCATGTTGAATTTTTTCTGTGTTCCTTAATGCTAGGGTGGTTTTTTCTTAGACTGAATTTCATTAGGAACTGGAGTGTCAAGTATTGACTTTGCAGAGATTTCAAGAATGTGGTAAGTATACATTATAAATATTACAGTATTGTGAAAGCATTTTAGTTTTGATTTTTTTTTTAAAAAACTATTCCTTTGTAGACCATCTCTAGTGGATATCTGAACTCAAATTGTCTGTGGAATATGATTCTTCCTGTTTGCCCCGGCTTTTCTGCCAGCTCACCATAAAAGCTGTGCAATACCCCAAAACTAAAAGAACGAGGATCAGAGTATGAGCATGGTGTTTTCTGGCTGGCAGCTGAAGAGCGTAGACAGCAGCTTGCCATGAGCAGCCAGCACGGTGGGGAGAGGGACGGAGCCGCAGGGTCGGGCAGGAGGCAACTGACTCCTGAGTGCAGGCTTAGGGCAACTTTGGGGCTGTGAAAGGCTCAGAGCTCAGCTTGAAGATGGAAGAACCCTGCTTTGGTGAACCTCCCTGCTCTTTCCCAAGGAAAGGGGTGAATGAGGCTTTTTACATTACATTGTAGCAGAGCTGTTACTGGATATGATGAATTTTTACAGGAGCAGCCATCCTGGGCTTCAGAAACTCTCTTCTCTTGGCATTTTATACCTTTGAAACCAAGCTTTTGTTTGCAGGAAGGGATAAATGCTTTATTCTCCTTCCTTCTGTGTGTATCAAGCTGGCAGACAGGTGAGAGATGGAAGGCATGTTATCTTTGCTATTCTTTTGGTCACTGTTGGGACAGGAGCGACTTCCACTTTTCCTTGCCTTGCACTTCTCTGCATGAGTGCTTTCAAGATCTGTAGGGATCATGTTAAGTGGTTTAGAACATATCACCAAGGTACTAGAGAAGTAGAGAAAATGTAAGCAGAGTCCTGCAAAATGGGACTCTACCTTACCTTTGCTTGTTGGTGCTTCTCAGCTTTCCAAACAGTATTTTCTTTTCCGAAGAAAAATAAATCTGATTTTTTTTGTTTAACTTCACTGATGTGAACAGACAAATCACTTGGATTTCCCCCCTTTGCACCCTGCACCTGCTTATAAACCTGTCAGCAATTAAAATGCTCTGATTATTCAGAAAATCACCACAGCATTTATTTGTGATTGTTTCCAACTCAAAAAAAAAAAAAAAAAAAAAAAAGGAGGCAGGGACTGTATCTCCTTTCCAGAAAAAAATCTAGTGGAAATGGTGAATTTGTGCACATGTGTGTTTCTGAGGCACCATTAGCTTTGCTGAACAAAGTTCTAAAAACTTGAAAATCTCATCCTGACCTGAATGCTTGCCAGGGATGTTTTTCCCTCGTTTTTGCACAGTGTTTGAAGAGTGCCTGCCAGATCAGCTGAGTAAGTGAATCCTCATTTACTCTCCTGCGTTTTCATCTTTTAGTTCAGTACCATCTTTTCGCAATGCAAGGTAGTGCAAAGAGGCAAGAGAAAAAAGACAAATCTTAAAAGGACACATTAAAGCAAATCTTAAGTGAATTTTTACAGACATAAATCTAAGAAGATAAAAAACTAAGTTTCTTGCTTTTCTTGGATGCAAGTGAATTCGACGTAGCGCTTGTCACAGGAAAAGCGTTTATTCCCAGTGGTTTGCAGCTTCTGTTCCCAGTCTCTCCACTGCAGCTAGGGCTAGCTTTAGGAGATGATGCAGGCTACTGCATCCAGTCCATTTTAGGACCACTTCATTTGGGGAAAGTGGTGGTGTTTATTGAATTCTCCTTTACGTGTGATTCCTGAGTGAGGATTTCATTATGGCCCTGTGTTCATCATCCTGCTTGTTTTATCCTAAATGCTGGACTGACCTCTCTATACCTGCCTTTCTTTTAATAACCCTGTTTGAAATGCTCTTATACACGGAAGTAAACGTTTAGGTGCTTTTTGATTTCATACAGGCTGTTGCTATTGGGGCTGGCTCAGCATGGGATTTTCTTGCTCTTGATTGGAAAAAGTAATGCATTTCTCAGAAGTCCTTCATGAAAGCATCCAGGCTGTGTTTGAAGGCATCGAGTCATACTGCCTTTGCCACTTTCCTGGGCACTTGGTTTCAGTTGTCTGTCAGCTTTACTGTCAAATTATTGTGGCTAATTTATAATGTGAATTTCTCTGATTTTTGCTCCTTATTGACTGAAATGCATTTTTTTTTTCCCCCCTGGTGTTTCTCTCCACGCATATGTCTGCTGCTGCCATCTTCAAACACCTTTTACTCTTCCTTTTGATCACAGGTATTCTCAAACCTCTTGCTAGAGGGTGTTTTCCTCATCCATTTCATAACTCTTTGACTCTTCTCTGAAACTTCTCCAGTATTATCGTGATCTTTATTAAGTGTAAGCATCAAAACTGTACTCTGGACCTGTATCAGCTTCACTAATGCTGTATGTGGTAGAAAAAAAACCCTCTTTGTGGTTGCCGTGCTTATACCTTCTAAAGTTGGTTGTGCCAGAGCAATCTGGGCTTTCAGGTTGAGTTTTTTTCCAGTGTGTCCCCTAGATCCTTTCCCAGTCACTGTTGACCAGGCTGCCATCTCCCATTCTATAGAAGGAGCCTTCACTCCTTATTCTTACATGTGTTAACCAAGGGGGAAAAAAACAAGGGACACAAAGCAGGCAAATTTCCTAGCTGTTGTCCTAATGCAGTGGATGTTTTGAAGTAGACAATTCTTTGAATAAAAAAAAAAAAAAAAAAAAAAACTCTGTCGATATTTATGTGTACTCTCAGAATGTGGGGATCCCTCGGCCTACATTAAAAACACACAAAAAACCAAACCCACAGGCATTTTTTCTCATATGCCCAAGGAGCACTAGAAGTTGTCAGTCATAACCTGTACTGTGGTCTGCAGTGCCCGGGGCAGAGGCACCCACCTCCACTTGTGCGGAACTCGGGAATTCAGGACATCTGCCTCCATGCAGGGATGTGTGCCTGAAAGGGCACATTGCAGGACCAGGATGACAGCTATCATTTCTCTTTGTCGTATTTCAATTCCTTTTTAAATACATGCAGTATTTGCTTTTAAAAGAATTGTAGAAGCCATTAAATTAGTAAAAATACTGATAATTTTTTTTATCTCCTTTTGAATTGGAGTTTATATGTTAATGTTGCTGGGAAAAGCATCCAAAATATTAATCAGAAGAAAATATTAAAGAATGTTTGTACCCTGAGCAGGTAAAGATGTAAATGCTGATACA